TTGGACTGGATGATCTTAGACTTCTCCTCCAACCTTGATGACTACAATTCTATGTGAAAGACAAACCTGTTAGAGGTTGTGTGAATACAGACTTCTACATTCCAGTAGCTATTACATATTCTGGATTCTGTAAAAGGCACACTGATAAACATGGAAAAAAACATTTGTATGTTCTTTGACGAAGTATCATATATATAACCTAAAAAATAGGTTAAAGAATTAGTTTACCTATGCTGTAATCAGGGAAATACAAGGTGAAAGGCTCAAAGCATCCAACATTTGGACGAAACAGTTCCCAAACTATTTCACTGAGCAGGACAACTGTCACATTTGCGTCAGTCTGCACAAGGAAAGGAAAAATTAAAAAAAAATAGAGATCAGGAAAAGAACAAAATAACAGTGCATGGTATAGCATCAATGAGAAAAATTATTATTGTGACTTTTCTGTTCCATGAAAATGATCACATTTACAGTTTAATACAAATTACCAGCATAGCAACAAAGCTTCAGCTGGCCTAATCAAGCAGCTCATACATTTGCAAATTTTCATAATTATATGATATTTCTCTGCATCCCTTGCCATTTCACTGACATGTAAGCTTTGGGGGGTGATACAGATCTGGTACTACACAATACGAGCAGATTCCATCCCTTACTCCCAAAATTAAGACAGCATTTTCCTTTGGTAATTAAACCCAGACTTTCAGAGCAAACAGGAAAGGTTACAAAGCAAAAGAATGCTCAACACTGCTGAAACCAGCAATACTGTGTTTTATTTTAAGGTAATCTGGTCCTTAAGGACAAACAAACACATTCCAAAACAAAAATGAAGTGTATATATATGTGTTCTCTGTCAACTGTTTAACTACTTACCAAAAATGTCTGTTTGCAGTAACATATTCTTTTTTAACCAAGTTTTTATTGACTAAATACCTGCCTTGAGTTTGAAGTTTTGGTTAATAAGTAACAAAACATTTCATATTGAAAAAAAAAAAAATCCCTTCCTTTGGTCACCCTTCAACATATTAGCCATTTCATAGAAAGCTAACTATCTGTGAAGATAATGTGTCATTCTTCATTTGTGCTACCATACCAAAAATTCTGCACAAGAGATGCTTTTAAATATGGCTCTTCCAGAGAGGCATTTGAACACTATTGAGGCTCCCCAATAAAACAAAAGAAAGGAACCTGATTGAACTGACAATGCTCAGTATCAGCTGAGAATGACTTGAAAGAAAAGTTTAGATGCTACTCCCTTCCCTGAATTTCAGGGAGAATCTTCTTTGACTCACTCTTCCCACCTCTTGCCCAAACAGCACCCACCCATATTCTTTACTGCTTCTTCTTTTTCTGTTTTTATGACACTTTTTTCCCCTTTCAATAAGAAAACATTTCTCTGTAGATTTCTTTCAGTTGTGCTCCTCTCCCATATCTCCCAGTGTTTTAGCTGACTGAAGTAACTGAGGTATGTTGAGTTCAGTTCCTGATCAATCTCCCAATATGAAAAACTCCAGTACTTCCCACCACAATCCTCATAGAAATTAAGCATCCAATGCCCTATTCTTCACCAACGATCCTCCAGTCCCACAAAATCCTTCACTACTAATGAAGTTTCTTGTCTCCTTTCATTCCAGGAAAGGAAGTGATGCAGTAGATTTGCACCTACAACACTATTCTGTAACACCAGCTGCACAGCAGTTTTAGAAAACCTCAGTCCAGAATCCAAGCAACTGGAGTATCAGCATTCAGGAAAGCTGACAAACTTACTTGGAGGATACTTTTCAATTTGATGGTGTTTCTCTAGCATATTTAACCTTAGTCTGTGGGGGTTTGGCCCCTGAACACCAAACACAGACCTAAGTTTTCTTCCTTTCTCTGCAGAACAGACTCTTTCTGCTTCAGGGGCAGCAAAGTCCAGAACATGGGCAGAGCAGACAAAAAGAGCCACAAAATGCAACAGCTGCCAGGACTAAGAACACAGCTGTGAATCAGTCTTCAGTCAGTAAACAGAGAAATCAATGTCACCAGAAGATTAAGAGCACCACACAAAAAGAGTCTTGACATAACAAGTATAATTTAAGTTATATAGATGGTTATACATTCCAAAGTACCAGCAGCTCCTGGTTTTGTCTACAGTTACTTTTCAGAAAACACACCATTTTTCCTTATTTCAAGGCATAAACTTTGATGCTGCAGAAGTGAGAAAGGGAAACGTGCAGTGGTTTACTCCAACTGGAAACCTGCTGTGCCACAATTCCAGGAGAAGTGTCAAAAACCCTCTACCAACACAAAGCACATTCACAGCTGCTGAGCTTTGCAGCTCCAGCCACAAGGAAATAGCTGGTGGCCTACCAAAAACTTCATTCTTAAACCCAAAAATAACCTAGAAAAGACAGCTCTGTATCTGACACCAGCCTCAAAAGGATCCACAACAGCTCAGGTACTGTAAAACAAAATAGTATTAAACACAATTTAAAAGCATGAATAAGTGTAATAAAATCCTGTCAACATCTAAATTCTGGTTTGGTTTCTAGTTTTGGTCACTGTCAGTTGATTTTTATTTTTTGAGGTTAATTTCCAACTTTTCTAATCTAAAGAATCACTTGCCAAGCTTGACTAGTGAGCCTAGATGGACAGACACCACATGTTCAGTCACTCTCAATATACAGAACACACATTAATTTTTTCCTACTTACCAACTCCTGAAGCCTAAGAAATGCTGGCAGGATGTTTGCTTCCATTTCCCTCAGCTGTTCTGCTCTATCCAGTACCTTTTAACAAAATAATGACATTATACAGACAATGTCAACTTCCACTCTCACGTGGACTTAAAATTCATTCTTAGCTGCTGGAAACTGGAGAGATTATTCCTTCAAATGTGCTTCCAGGAAGCCCAAGCAGCTCTGCATCTAAAAAAAGATGCAAACCCCAGACAAGCAACATTCTTATGCCTTATGGCAGCAAGAATTAAAACCTAAGCATACCAGTCATGATATCACTGACAACCACTGAAACCTCCATTTTTGCCCCAAATTCTTCATTTATTTCAAAGTTATGTCCAGCACTGGAGCACTGTATCTACATGCTTACTCTTGGAGAATTATCTTTTCCCACTATGAGATTAATTTTTCAGACACAAGAGCTGATATTAAAAAAAATAAATTAATTCATCTGGAATTCACTGAACTGAATTTTGAGAGAAACTTTTCTTGCCATAGTTTGCAGCCTAGAAATTTACAGGTTTTATTGTCTCCAAACCTCACCCAGCAGTAACAGATATGTAGCATATCTACAGCTTAAAGCTGCAACTAATATTTTGGAGCCTGGAGAATAAAATTAGAAGCATGAAAACATGCATGGTTGCCCTTTGGCAAAAACATTTGTATTCCCAGTACACCAAATCTCGACAAGAATGAATAAAGAGAAGAGAAACACATTTCTTTTGTGGTTTGTTTACTACTTGCAATATAAATCTAAATTCTGAAGTTCATTACTTCTTTTGAGTTACTGCTGTGGAAAGAAAATACTTTTTAGTTAAATGAGACACAAGCTACAGTTTCTACTTACAGCAGATAAAACACACTGTGACCCTGACTTGGGGGTCACAGAAACAGCCTTTTAGTGTCAATACAGACATGTCACCCTTCAATTTTTTAAAACAACTACACATTTCAAAACTGTCTGCTCACTTACATTAGAAACAGTAGCTTGTTACCACTCTAAAGTGCTGAATATTATAAATGTAGGAACTATTTACAAGATATCTGCTCCAATTTTTCAGGCAGTTAAAAGGAATAAATTCATTTTTCAGAAGTAATCACAAGCATTCAGCACCCATGCTTGGGTTAAGAGAAACATCTAGGATCCTTTCCTTGAAAGTAAACATTTATCTTAATTTACTCTGAGTTAATTGAGCTGAAATATTACATTATTTACCACTGAAATGAAATGGAATGAAGTAGCATTGCCAGTTCATGCTGCCAGTGTGCTGGTCCTCCATCAGTCTCAATTTAAACCCCTCCACAATAAATCCAGATGACACAGGTTAATAAACATGAATTGATTTCTCCCATTCCTGTCTGTTCCCATGCAGAATGGAACTGAAATACTAATTTAATACTTAACTCTTCAAATTCAACAACCATTTTTGTGATCAAATGGAACCTTTATCACTATTTAATGGTTTGCTTTCTATAACCATTGTTAAAAATCTCATTTTCTGAGTGATGCTGATTTTCATAGAATACATGGACAATTCTTTACTGATATAGAACTGTTTTCTAGTTCAAATACTAATCTGAGAGTAAAATTTTACTACTAAAATTATTTTGTGACATTCACTAAAGGTTATTACAGTGCTAAATTTGGTTCTTATGGAATTGCAGAAGGATGTCAATACTACTTTTGTGATGGTAAATTAAAATGGTCTATTTATAAGTTCTTATCTGTTGCAAGTGTTGGCACATTTTTTTCTTCATTTAATTTTTAAGATGTCGAATTTATTAACCTCATGAGCTGTAGGAAACTATAAGACTGTACTGTTTCCACCAAACATAACATGAAGTTATTTAACTCAGTGGTTAAGCAATTTTAAATGAGAATAAAACTTATTCAACTATAACCTGTGAAACAGAATGAAGAATGTTCAGTATAACTATGAACTTGTTGTCTGACTGCAAAGAAAACAAAGCAGTATGGGCACAATGTGAGAAACATGCAGAGTGACCCAGGGTCACTAAGGTCTCAACCTTGAACCACTTTCATGTTTTCTTATAAAATCAATTTCATCTCTTTTAAAAAAAACCCCTTAATTCCTACTACTGACCTGAAATTTCAGTCCACATCTTTTGCAGGTCAACAATGTACAACAGATATTTGCACAACACTAATGCTACAGCTTTCACATTGTCCTTTCATCATTCCTCTTGTATGACTGAAATTTGTTTCTATGTTCATCCCTTGACATAGAATCATCAAGGTTGGACGAGACCTCTAAGATCATCCAGTTCAAACACTAACCTGCCACTCTGCTGGAACCCCTAAACCCTAAACCATATCCTCCAGTGTCAGATACAGATGCCTCTTAAACCCTTCCAGGGATGGTGATCCTTCTTCACCTCACACAAAAAATGAAATCATACGGTGGTAAGGGCAGAAACCTTCTGCACCACCTAATGCACCTTCAGATATTCAGCACCATTTCCAACCTTTATATTATAAGAATAATAGTAGCTGTTCCATGATACATGCTGTGATGTCTGCAAATTTTGATTCCTTCATGTAGTTAAGATTATCACATTAAAATAAATAATTAAACCAAACCCTAGTGTTCTATTACTACAGACTCACTCATTCCTGCAATCTGAATTCCTAATGTTTTTCCTGCAGTTTGCCTGTCAAGTCCACTTGAGTGCATCATCATTTTTTTCCACTGAAGTCTTTTTATTCCATCTTAATTTCACAACTACAGTTCTTGTTTCTGAGGGCCACAAGTGTGGCTGAAGACGTAAGATCTCAGAAACACTTTTAGAGATGCATTTTATTTATGCATTTTAGTTATTTAATACAACTTCTAAGTCAAACCTATTCTAGCCAACCAAGTCTTGTCATTTCCATACTCCAGGGGAGATTCAGATGAGATGTCAGGAAAAATGTTTTCCCTGTTAGGGTGTTCAGGCACTGGAATAGGTTGCCCAGGGAGGTGGTGGAGTCACCATCCCTGGAAGTGTTTAAGAGGCCTCTGGATCTGGTGCTGGAGGATCTGGTTTAGGGTTTAGGGGTTCCAGCAGTGACAGGTTAATGGTTGGACTGGATGATCTTAGAGGTCTCCTCCAACCTTAATGGTTCTGTGATCCTAAATCACTTCTGCCCGTGTTTCCACCTTTGCTTTCTCATTTGTTTGAATTCACTTCTGCCCATGTTTCCACCTTTGCTTTCTCATTTGTTAAACTTCACAAAGAAACAGATAAGCATGACTTAGTAATTACAAAACAAATACAGGTTCTCTCTATTGAAAGACTTTGTAACACTATTACTCAATTTAAACATGTGGCATCACTTACGTTCACTATCAGTTATCCTGTTCTAAACCCAGGAAAAACAGATTCACTTCTGCCCATGTTTCCACCTTTGCTTTCTCATTTGTTAAACTTCACAAAGAAACAGATAAGCATGACTTAGTAATTACAAAACAAATACAGGTTCTCTCTATTGAAAGACTTTGTAACACTATTACTCAATTTAAACATGTGGCATCACTTACGTTCACTATCAGTTATCCTGTTCTAAACCCAGGAAAAACAGAGAACCTCACCTAAAGCCTGCAAAACAACAGAAAGAATCTAACCCCATCAGCAGATTCTGAGGTCTGCACAGAACTTTTGTGAAAACTACTCTATAATGCAAACATTTCACAGACAAATTGTCAGTAACAATTATACCCTCTTAACAGGAATGAAACTGGACATAAACATTAAATTACTTACGATGTATAATGTCTCATCTTGAAGCTCTTGACTCACAATAGTTTGTTTAAACAGACGTACGAAGTCATTGAAAGTGTCACAAGGCACGTGAGAAGTCTGTTCTGTCTCAGAAGAAGAGCAGTTTTGCAATTGGGTAAGAATTTCTTCTAACAGAAGTCGTGATGTGAAGTATTCCACACAGTTCACAAACACATGAGGAAGCTGACGAGGATTAAAAAAAAAAAAAAAAGATAGAAATTTATTTGGCTTTTTCAGTGTAAATACTCCAGAATCAGTTTTCTTTTCCAGATGAGACAATGAAAGAAACCACATCCTGCCAACAGAATATAGAGCATAAACCAAAACAACTTGCAAAAATAAAAAATCCATTATGTACCTAGTCAAAATATTATGTATCACAAAGTAAAGACTGATCTGATGAACCCTCAAATGGAACAGTGTATCTTCTAATTATGTGCAAACACTTGAAACACAGTGTATCTTTTAACTATGTTTAAAAATTGTAAGCAATACATAAAAAGGAAACCAAATAACAGTTCAAAGAAAAATTAGACAACTGTAACACATTACAGTATCACAAACCAGTCCAAATTATGGTATCTGGATACATGGATGCCTCAAACTTACATTACAAAGGAAGCAATCCAGGAGCACAGAGCACACTCCCCAAAATCACTCTGCATGTTTTAGGCATTCACTGCACACAAATGATAAGGTGTGTAAGCTTCTATATCATACTCATGTGATCAGGCTGATTGTGCAGAACATTTTCAGAAAACCAGATCTTTCCAGAGGAAAAAGTGTGTGAAAAAAAGCTAAATATGAGATACATTCTTGATATCATGAGATATCAATTTAGGAATATTGAAACGCTATGGTCATCTGCCTATAAATAAAAGACACTATAAACTACAAAATAGTACCAGTATTCAAACCTATAAAATGCAAAAAAAAAAGGGTAATTTTCTAGCAACTCTGTTTTTAAGAAACACTTTATCTGCATAGCTCCATTTTCTCTGGTGAGGCATATGCTCTTTTTCACACTTCACATTAAAACCTCTGGAAAACATTAGTCAGTGGGATACAAGAATGTCTGTGTCTCTAACAAAAATTCCAAGTACTTCATTCCAGTCTTTCTACTTAAAATACAATATATGGCATATGATTCAGCAGATGAGGGGAAGTCTGGGTACATGCTGGCAATCCACTCACAGAGAAAGCAATAAAAAGCTTCCTTATGATTTTGACCAGCATTAAAAGAAAGCAGCTACATCTGCAAACACAGCTGTTCCAAGAGCAGGAGGAAAGCTGAGTGCCTCAGATGTGATTCACAGAACCACATGACACGGGAGACACCTATCCTTGGCAAAAGGCAGCTCCGTAGGGGAGAGCTGCTGCTTAAATCCTGCTGCTTTCCAGGGCCTGGCCACACCTCTGGGTATGCTGCAAGCTGGTGGCACCGTGCTAGGAGAACTGCAGGAAAAGCTACTGCATGGAGAGGATAATAACCTTTGTCTTCTACTCTTCTCCCTCTGCAGAATTTTGAATGAAGGGGTTTCTGCATAAAACCCAGTCCTGTAGATATGTGATAAGCTGACTCCCAAAAGTATCAGGGCTATGAGAACACAAACATGGAAATTTATGGTCTAGGCACAAAGTAGGCACCTGTCATTGGATTTAAAACCCTGAAGTTCATGAATAACAAAAACACAGGTTTAGATGGAAATTTCTGTCATGATACCTTTGACTTCTGGAGGACTTTGAAACATGTCTTGGGAAAAATTAAAACAAGGAATAAAACTAGCATGAATATACACATTTACTAACAGAAAAAGAAGGGCCATAAAAGAGGCAAGAACCAAGTGTTCTGCCAGCACTGACCAGAGAGGGACTGAAATGGACTCTAAGGCCATGTGTGTCTTCATCATTTTCAGCATAACTATTTTTGCAAGAAACACACATCAGCCACTATGACCTACTACTTCTGTATAGTCCACATTCCCACATGATGTGTAAGGTAGAGCAGGTTTCACTGCCTGCAGCCCTTGCAACTGAATTAAGCCCATTCACGACAAAGGTCCCACTTTGGGTTAGTAACATACAGCAACTCCAGTATTAATCAAGGATATAACTCTTCCCCCAGTGGACAGCATTAGTTTTCCTCCTTAACAACCGAGACAAAGAGTTTGTAGTCCCAACATCCTAGGAACATAACGCTCCAAACTCAAAACAATGGATTCTCAGTAGTTTCCACTTCATGTACTCCAAAAACATCTGCCTTAGGAGTCCTCCTTGACCTTCTTCTAACTTACTCCTACACTGTTTTCTAAGAGCAGGAATTCAAGGAAGTTTAGCTTAGATGGCAAAGCTGAAAAAGAACATAGAGTCCTAACATTTCTAAAAGTGATGCTCATTCAGAAGGAAACAGTACTGGCATGGGAGAGTAATATCCATCCTGCCAGCAAAAGACCTGGCAATGCCAAGCTTGGTGCACACACACACCTGGAGAACTGATTTTATTACATTAGCAACTGTGAATGGAATGCTGTTTCACAGAGGTTTTAACTCAGTATATATATCAAGCTGTGTAAAGTGCACAAAATTTCTATTTTCAGACTCGTTCTGGAAGGCTATCAGTGCACTTCTCTCATTTAGGGCATGATTTTTGGCTGAAGCAGAAGAACAATCATTTATTGTCCAGGATTTAAATCAACTGTTCCTATGCAACATTGCTCTACCACTTTAAAACTCACATGCTGTTTCTTTTTCAAAGTTTCAGATTTTCCTGCTTCTACAAAAGGGCTGAGCAGAACTCACCAAATTCACCTCAGGTCTGCCAAAACAACTATCCCTAGCAAAGAGTAAGGCAGTTGCCTGGTATTCCAGCAGTGATTTCCACCATTTCAGATTCACTTTCAGCAAACATGTATAGGTTGCTGTGTTTACTTTGAATGCTTTTAGCAACTTTATTTAAGCTCTTAGGCTGACATTTAAATAGATCATACACATCCAGCAGAGTTTAATTAAAATGAGTTTGTCAACACAAAGCAAATAAACCAAAAAAACACTACTGCAAATTGTTCTTACTGTTCTTCACATACTCTCTTGCTCTTTTCATATACAAGTAAAATTAGTTCAAAGAATTATAAGAAGATTCAGAAAAGGTATCCTATGAGTGACTCTGAGATTGAACTGGAATAATCATAAGAATAATTATTGTCACTGGAGCTATTTCAGGCTAAGTCAAGGAAACAAGCAGAACAGTATCTAGCTCCATTTTATCTTTTTTTAATCTTCTTATTAAAGCTATGATTTATACTATATCTCAGTGTTTACAAATTCATTTTATCCTAAGTGCAGAAGTTAGAAGAGTGATTTATTTATCACACAGTAAGTGGAGATAGAATCTAGAGGGCAGAAATGGCTGAGGAAACAAACCATTTTGAGAAAGTAGAGGCTATTTTGAGGGACGATCAGTTATAAATAAATTGTAAATTCAATATCCATTTTGAAAGTTCTTACCTCTAAGGTCTTTAGAAGTGTTTGCATCACATAAGTCTTTCCACTCGATGTATGTCCATAGATAAAGATGGATGGAAAACTAAAGTGCTGACGCTAGGGAAAAGAAAAGAAAGTTGTGGCTATTTCAATTCTTCTTCTTTTTCACTCAACAGTAACAAATTTATCAATGAAGTTTCCCTCCAGAAGAAAAGTCATTTTTTCAACTGAGGCATTAAATATAAAATATACCAATTATTATGGAATCAACAAGATCAAGTTTTATGTCTCGTCTTCACTGAAACGTTGGGAGGGTAAGTTCCAAGAGTGAAGTATCACAGAACTACCAGTGAAACTGCTGTAGCAAACAACAGAAACACAGAGAGAAAAGCTGTGGGCTCTTAATTCAAATTAGTTAACTGGAACAAAATCAGCACAAATTGCAAGCCATGCATCATCCTAACCTCTGCAAACACTACAAACTGCTTCTCTTTACATTAGCATCAAACAGAAAGGAATTAAATGGTGTGGAGGAGGAGATGGTAACAGAGCTCTCTCTACTCTCACAAAGCATTATTAGATACATTTGTTTAATGGTCCTGATACTGCATATTTCATGTCATTTTTTTAAGATGCAAGGAAAATAACTAAATTGTTCTTTTTGTTTCATTCTGAATGAGTATTTGTGTTTTTCTCATTTCTGAGAATCTCACACACTGGCTTAAAAAACGCAGACAAACCCAAAACTGACACTTTTTATGACAAGCAGTAATATCCAATTAACTCAGATGAAGACACTCTTGTGCAAGACATGCAGATATTCCAACCTGCATATTTATCAGGAACTGAAGTATCTATTTTAAAGAAGTGTTGCCACGATGCTTGTAATACATACATCAACTTGAATTCTGTAATGTTATTATCATCATCATCCATAATTAAAGGGAGAACCAGAAACATATACCAATTTCCATTTTGTTAACTGAATCGAAATAGACGTATCAACTGCTTTTAAGTTTGCTGAAAAAATCCCCATTACTTTTTACCACAGCTCTGCAAAGCAGTACCAGAAACAATTAACAAGCCAGTGATTTCTGAATCTTATGACCAGACACAGAACTACTAAGAATCAGACTTGTTTAATGAACTTAGAATTCAAGCATTCAGATACTAGATTAACAAGGCAAAACCAAACAATTTCTAAGCTGAATTCCCAGGTTTGAACTTCAGACCTGGGAAGAAGAGACACCCTGATACTAACTGGCAAAGTTGCAACAGTCATGGCAAAATCAGGCCTCAGAGAGAGCAAGGCACAAATGACACAAGGTTTTTTAGATCCTTTCAGCTCCAGCCTTCCAACGTAGTAGAATCTATGTGCCACACAGCAATATTAAAGATGGGTAACGGAAAACAAAACCACAACAAAGACAACCTATGTTCATAACAACCTTAACTTCTGTTCTCCCCCCTGAGCCAGCAGAACGTGTTCGTGCTGTTCAAACATCCAGTTCAAAAAGCAGTACCTCTCCAAATATTGAGAGCAGCAGGGACACCTGGGAGTCTCTGCAAGGCACCAGACTCTCCAAGCGAAGCAGAGCAGCTGCTGGGTACGCTGGGTGCTCCAGATTAGGCATTTTGGTATTCCTGTAGTCACCTTAACATGCAGGTCCCTTCTGAGGTGCAGAGACAAGAAATAGTGATCTGAAAAACAGGAAGTTTTCATTATCAGTTGCTTTCATATGCATAAAATGAAAATGAAGAGGAACTGACATAAAATCTAAGCAGACATTCTAGCTCAGGGTAATGGTATAATTAGGATACTTTGAAGACTTCAGCAGAATTGAACTTTACTATGTAAGGCATTACACAGGCATTTTCACAGCAGACAGAACCCAAAAAAAACCCATCAAATAAAAAGGGAAAGGCATACAGGATATGAGGAAATCAATACAAGAATGAATTGTCATAGTTTAGTTAACTGGAGAAATCCATATTTAGTTCTGGTTTTAAATACATTTAAAAGTAGCAAGGGAATAAAGTGAGGAAAGTAGATTAGTCACAGATCATCACCTCCCTGAACAGCCAATAAACTAGGATTTACAAGGAACAGGGAACAGGTAGAGCCTAAGGAAAGATGAGGGTGACAAAATAACAGCTCTTGGGCTGCTAAAAGGAATACTTGGCACAGATTAAAAGCAACAGAGGCATATGAAGAAAATCCAGCTGATGGTAAAGACTGGAAATACTCCTTAGAAACTGGAGGAGCCCAAACCAGTTACCTAAAACTGTGATATTAAATATAAAGTCCTTTCAGACAAGGACCAGACAAGGAAAAACAAAGGTCCTGATTGCTCAAACAATGGGAAGGCTGGATTTTAGTTACTGGATGCAAGAAAACACCTCAGTCGAAGATACTACTTTGCCTGAACTTCTAAAACTGGTAGAAAGATGTGTATTTATCTGTAGTAATATGGACAACCTGCAGAGAGAGAACTGAAGTAACCTCAACAGCTGGATCCTGACTTTGTCAAACACAGCATAACCTGACAAAGAGAAAGTCTGGAAGTACTGGTAAGGCAATAAAGGTACCTCTATCAGCTGACAGAAATAGCTCTGTGTTACCAAGACAAGGACAATAAACAAAGCACTCTGAACACTTAAGTCTAACTATTTACAGCCAAGTATGTTGTGCTGGATGTAAGTACAACACAGGGAAAAAGATAAGGTTAGCAGAAGGAGATCAGAAATAGGCTGGGAAACGGAAAATAAGCTGTTCTGAAGGAATCATCAACAGAAAAACAAGGGGAATTAATGGGGGGGGGGAAGGATATCCCTGAGAACAGAAGTAATGCCAGTAGAATGAATTTGGGTACTTCAAATTACACCTACTTGCAAGTAATCACATCACACCTAACAAGGACTACAGTTAGGTATCAAGAAACTGTAAGTGTGAAGTTAACTTGAAAAATAAACAAGCAAGTACAGAAAATCAAATTAATGCTGCTATCGGGGGAAAAAAATCATATGTCATCAGGCAAATTACTTCCCATACAGTCATACAAACAGCCTTGGCTCATCTTATCAGATCAACTTGAATGATTTTGTGTGTCTGACCACTGTGTCTACTCAGACACCTATTCCAAATGGAAGGAAGATAGAGATAATTAAGTGGTTTGATTAAGGGTGCTCTAGGAATATCAAGGATGGAAAGACAAAATTCTGACAGAAGCATCCAAAACAAGAGGACAAAA